ACGCTTAATGAGTTGTTCCAACAATATAGAAAACTGTTCGTTGTTTTCTCTACCTTCATCCCCCTGATTCATTTCAGCTACAATATGTAACGGATGACACCGACCCCTATTTTGATGCGTATTTTTATTTGTTGGAAAATCTCGCAAGTGTCAAAATTATGCTGTTGATGTTTGATCTACAAAACTGCGAAGAGCTCTTGACACGATTGTTTCGTGAATTTTTTAATGCAATGAGGTATTTTTGCAAGAATGACATCGTTTTTAAATTTCTATTATTCTTCTTATCAATATATGTGTATGTGTCTTTTTCCGTTATAATTGTTATTTATATGCAGGGAAAATACGCAAAAGATTGTGTATGGATACTTTATTGATATAATGCAACAGTTGATCGAGGAAGCCCAAGTTCTGCCTCAGGAAACTATTGACATTATTTTATACCAATTTCTAAAGAAAAGAAAGGTGAATATATAAATACCAATTCGACTCCTTTACATGCAAGAAATGCATATTCATCTAAGAAATGATTGTATTGATATAATAGGAAGAACATCCAGCTGCATATCAATTAGCAAGTGCCATAAGTCGGGCATCAACTGATAAACTCCAATATTATGTTTGCCAGGTTTTTAGAACTCCTTATAATCTGGCTGATTCTAATATAAATCGTAAATTAATAGTATGATTAATGAAACCCTAATTAGTATTTCTCCGAAGTTATTGTTTCTTCGGGCAAATCAGTGGCACCGGAAGTACTAAGCGACTTCAAAACAGCCCATGAACTCATTAAAGAACTTAATCGCGCAGCACCGGGGTTACTTTTGAATGTGATACCACAATTAGAAGAGGAGCTGAAAGTATATATATTCACATTGACAATAAAATCAACTCTTTAAAAGATTTACTCCAAGGAATTTTATTCATAAATTGTTTTGTATTTAATATAAATATAATGTAGCTCGATGATTTCAATCTAAGAATACTTGCTACTCAGGTTCTGGGAGAGATGTTTTCGGAGAAAGGATCTAGTTTAGCAGTCCGATATGAGAACGTTTGGCAGATTTGGCTTTCGAGGTATTAAATTTTCAAAAGATATAGATTACTTTATTATCAATTTCTTCACTCTCGAATAACGCACATATTCTTCTATATTATGTAAGGCGTAACGACAAAGCAACCGCAGTTCGAATCGTTTGGGCTGATTATTGTATTCCACTATTTCAAAATCACCCTGAATTGGCAAAACAAGTGAATGGTAAAGCACAACCTTCTATTTCACACGTCATAGGAATTACTTATCAAATATTTCTATGACTTATATTTTAGATGCCATTAAATCAAAAATGTCGGACCCTGATGAAAAAGTTCGAATTGCATTTTGTAAAATACTTGGTCAAATCGATTATGATAGTGCTCATAATTTGGTCGATGCCGAATTGTTGAGTGCCTTGGCTAAGCGATGTCGTGATCGTAAAGTAAGATTTCTTTTTTATGAAATTCAGTTTATCAAAAACATGGTGAATAATAGAAAATTTCGATATTCATTTGTTGACGTCTAAGCACGGAGTTAGACAAGAAGCGATAAATGCTCTCGCAAGGCTATATAATTTGGCATTTTCTGATATGTAAGTCAATTCATCTGATATTACCGATAATAATCGTTCGATCATTAACTATCTATTATAACATACACACATTTCCAGCCTCATTAAGCAAGAAAAAGCAATGACAAACTTTAGCTGGATCCCTAAAGAAATATTAAATACACTATATACGAACGATAATGAAATTGTGTAGGCCATTTTCGGTATTTATGTTGCCATTATTCCGTTCGTTATCTTCTGTTCGATTATTTACAAATTATTATCTGCCAGCGTGTGTGTTGAAAAGGCTCTCGAAGAACACATATTGCCTCATAATAATGATGATTCGGTCCGTGTTGAACGAATTCTCACTGTTTTGAAATCATTGGATGGAAAAGCGAAGAAAGGGTTTTTTTCTTTGTTTCAGAGACAGAGAGAGTGAGTTTACATTACTAAATATTATGATTATCATATACGCTGATGATTAAAAGTTTTGTCAACTAATTTAAAGCGCGATTTCTGATATGGAAATCTTTTTGGGGTTGTGCGAACAAATTAAGGTGAGCATTTCTTCATTATAAAATTTTACCCAAAGTTATTTCTTTTTATTTTTTTAATTGTATCTGAAATGAATCAGGGGGATGAAGGTAGAGAAAACAACGAACAGTTTTCTATATTGTTGGAACAACTCATTAAGCGT